TCCACGCAGCGCACGCAAACCGCGTACTACACACACACACACACACACACACACACACACACACACACACATAAGGCCGATGGCGTGCGTGCGCGCGAGCGGGCGTGGTTGTCTCACGGCGATGACGTTGACAAAGTCGTTCTCTCCCAGCGTGTCGAGGATGGTGTTGATGGTGTGCTTGGCGATGGTCATCTTCAAGCCCTTCATGCTGCCGCTGATGTCCACCATGATGATGATGTCCTTGGGCGACGTGGCCGCCTGGATGTACCTGAGGCGCACGCAACGCGCAACGCGCAACACGCAACACAACCCAAATCACTTGCAGATGTCAAACTGGGACTCCTGCATGTGGTTGTTTGTCACCAACGTGACCCAAGGTGGCAGCAAAGCGCTAGTTTTGGCTAAATGAAACCCCTCAACACATTTCAGCATGGTTCCATGGCACCCGGATGCCACGACCTGGCAGCAAGCCACGACTTCTGTCCAAATGAAATTCCTCAAATCACGTCAACATCGTTCCTCGGCAATCTTTTGCTGCCACGGGAGGGTGGCAAAGCGCTACTTCCGTCCAAACGGAGCGCTCCTAAACTCACTCCAAAGTACAGTGGTTCGGTGGCAATCATTTGCTGCCACAACATGTCGGCAAAGCACTACTTTTGTCTTTTTCACCCCGCGTGCAACGCATTAAGATGCAGGAAAGTGCAGAGCGATTTGGAAAAAAAAAAAAAGAAAACGAGTCCTCATCTTGGCAACAGATGACTGACGTGGCATACTTTGGGCCACTTGATTCGACACAGGCGCACATTTGCGTTCTGAACATTGAGGTGTGAATTTGGGGGGAAAAAAAAATAATCACCAGTTTCGGTTCCTGCAGTCGAAGGCGGCCACGCCGTTGCTGTCCGGCGTCCATTTGATGCCTGAAACAACAAACGCGTTGGAAAGAATTCATTCCTGCAAGAAACTAATTCATTATTTTAGTGCACAAATCTGTTATGAATAATTGCTTCCTAGATCCTAAAAAATCAAAACACAAAATAAGATTCATTCTTATAATATACCCTAGGTTCTTTTGAACATTATTTTTTCCCTCATAACATTGCAGCTTCATTTTCATATAATTTCAACCAACTTTTCTAAATGTATCCACATTAACGACAATACAATTTTTAAAAAAAGTCAGAATCAACTCTTAAGACCAGAATTTATTTTTAAAATCAAGTACTGTATTTTCCATTACTTGAATTAATTTTATGTATTTTTTTTGTATTTATTTATTTTAATTTTAATTGAATTTTAAATGATATTTTTTGCTCGAATACTAACTTTTTTGTATGGATACATTTTTGTTGTATTAATTTTATCCGTGTGGAGTATTTTTTTCTTCATTTCAATTATGAATGACCAGGCCTATTTTCGACACACACACACACACACACACACACACACACACACACACACACACACACACACACACACACACACACACACAC